TAGCAGATGACAGAACGAGGAGTAATGGTCTCAAGTTGCAGTGGGGGAGGTTTAGATTGGATATTAGGAAAAACTTTTTCACTAGGAGGGTGGTGAAACACTGGAATGCGTTACCTAGGGAGGTGGTAGAATCTCCTTCCTTAGAGGTTTTTAAGGTCAGGCTTGACAAAGCCCTGGCTGGGATGATTTAACTGGGAATTGGTCCTGCTTCGAGCAGGGGGTTGGACTAGATGACCTTCAGGGGTCCCTTCCAACCCTGATATTCTATGATTCTATGATCAGTACTCCAGGTTTGAGTAAGAATGGAACTGGCCACCAAGGAATCAGAGAGAGTGGAAATCAGAGAGGAGGCCTGATACTTTGTAATCACCAGAGGCAAGAGGTCACGACAGCATTCTGCATGACCAGAGACAGATGAGGATGGGCAGGCTGTGGGCAGCAGAGAGAAGAGGACTGGGAGGAATTCCACGCAGCTAGAAGTTTCCAGTCAATACCAGGTCCTCAATGTGGAAACTTTAGAAAATACCTGTCAATATCCAGCCAGTCCAAGGGAACAGAGAGATGTGTGGGAAACACACATGGATGGCAGTTCATCCCAACCTGTAAGAAAATCAAGCTTCTCTGCAAAGAGTTCTCCAACTATCCTAGGAAAACAGACAATCCTTGTTGGGAGACTCAATACTCAAAAGAATTGAAAAAATATTCTACAAGGGCCAGACAAACAACAGTATGATGCGCTGGAGCTAAAACATGAGACGTCACTCTATGACTGCATAAGCTTCTGAAGTCGACGGGCAAGGATCCATTGATGATGGTTCTTATCAGCCCTAAGGACACTGCAATGTGGGATACCCCACTGAAATTAGATGACTTAATGGAACTTGGAAACATGCTGAAAAAAAAAGAATGTCCACGCAATCTTCTCTGAGATCCTTCCTGGACTATGAGCAAAGGAAAACAGAAGACAGACGATTCTGGAAGTGAACAGCTGGCTACATAAGTAATGTAGACAGGAGGGTTTTGATTTTGTGGTTTTGTCTACCTTCTCTGGGGAGATGGTGCTGTATAGTTTGAATGGGGTCCACCATGGGAGAAGGGTGGCGACAATGGACAAGGAGAGGATTAAACTAATTGCAAAATGGGAGGGTAAAAAGAGGGAAGATATGAGCACTCAGCACAAGATCAAGATGTTGAGAACAAAATTAAGCAAGGACCCAAAGGAGTTGATGAGAAGAAATCATTTAATTGACTGTACACCAATGCTAGGAGACTGGGTAACATACAAGAGGATTTGGAATTGCTCATGTATGAGCATAAATTTGATCTAGTTGATATTACTTGGTGGGATGATTTGCACGTCTGAAATTCTAAAAATGGATTATATTTAGAAATGACAGAATGGGCTAAAGGGGAGGGCAAGTAGCACTCTATGTCAAAAATGGCATTACCTGTTTCCAACTCACTGATAACTTGGAAGAATATGATCTTAAATGCTTATAGATCTAGGTTCTAACATATAAAGCACAGTATGGGGTATTAGTTGGTGTCTGCTACAGGCAACCACATCACACTAGGAATCAGGATGACTGGCTACTTATGCACCTACCTACGTGTAGGAAGAAATGCTGCATGAGCATGGGGGATTTCAATTTAAGTGACATATATTGGAGGTGTCATGCTGCCAATATTAAAACATCCTGAGAACTATCAGATATTATAGATGACAATTTCCTAACTCAAAATGCACTGAAGTCAACATGTGGGAATTCTTTATTAGAATAACAGGTAAAGAGAAAATGATCACAGAACTAAAACTTAATGGTAGCTTAGGTACAAGTGAGGTTTTTAGAGGTTTTTAAGGTCAGGCTTGACAAAGCCCTGGCTGGGATGATTTAACTGGGAATTGGTCCTGCTTTGAGCAGGGGGTTGGACTAGATGACCTTCAGGGGTCCCTTCCAACCCTGGATATTCTATGATTCTATGATTCTAAGTGACCATGACTTGATCAAATTTATAATGTGCAAGAAAAACAAAGTCCAGTCCTGTAATATATATACTTGGTGCTTTAATAGAGGCAATTTCATAAAGCTGAAACCAGTTATGAGCCAAATCAGCTGGGAGGAAGAATTTAGCCAGAAAAAAAGTGTGAATGGTAAGTGGGAATAATTTAAGAACACCTTACTAGATGCCTCAAAAGCCACAACACCACAGCTGAGGAAGAAGGTGGTGCTGGTTAAAAAAACTGACCTGGTTTAGAGGTGAAATGAAGGCAGCTATAAAAAATAAAAAGATATATACAATAAATGGAAGAAAGTGGAAGTTCATAGCAATGAATATAAATCAGAAGTTAGGAAATGTGGAAATTTGATAAAGGGAGACAAGGGACAAGTGAGCTGTAGCTCACGAAAGCTTATGCTCAAATAAATTTGTTAGTCTCTAAGGTGCCACAAGTCCTCCTTTTGTTTTTTTTTAAAAAGAGAAATCTATGGCCAGCAGAGTTAAAGACAATTAAGAAGAATTTTTTAAATATATAAGGGACACAAAAAATCCGGACATGGTATTTGTACATTGCTAAATGGAAATGGTAGAATTATCAATAATAATGCAGAAAAGACAGAAGTGTTTAACAATATTGTTCTATACTTGGGGGGGTGGGGGGGGAAATGATGATATAGTCTCATTATATGGTAATGTTAATGGTTTCCATTCCACTAGTATCTCTGGAGGATGTTTGTGACAGGGGGTATCCCTGAATGCACTGAGATTTGTGACTTAAATTTTAATTCCCCACCTGCAGAGACTTAAGGAGGCCCACAAACGGAAGAGCCTCCCTTGCAAACAGTAAGGAAGTGGAGCCTATGTTGGAACCACCCAGTCTAGATAACCGGGTGTGATCAAGTTCTCCCACCGAGGACTCTGCTACAATGTTAAACAGAAGCTAGGAAAGTTAGACATTTTTAAATCAGCAGATCCAGATAACTTGCATCCAAGGATTTTAAAAGAGCAGGCTCAGGAGCTTGCTGGACCATGAATCATAGAAATGTAGGACTGGAAGGGACCTTGATAGGTCATCTGTTCCAGTCCCCCATACAAAGGCAGGACTAAGTATTATCTAGACCATCACTGTCAGGTGTTTGTCTAATCTGGGTGCTTAATTACCCCTTGTGACAGAGCGCACTTGCCCCGCACTGGTACCATGAGGGTTAACTCTACTCTCTGGACCGAGGAGGCCATGCCCCTGCAGCCCTGCTGGGCATACTCTGGCTGGAGACTAGATATAAAAGGTAGCAGCTCGGTTCATTCAGGGCTGACCACTGAAGAGGGAGGACGCACGCACGCACGCAGAGAGCTCCAGGCCGGGAACCACGGAAGCCCCAGATGGCAGACTGACACTCTGGAGGACACCCAAGGAGTTTCAGAGCTGCTGGGAGCCGCACTGGCCGAGGAGCCCCGAGACCCCGGGGATGCCGCATCAGGAACATGGTAGGAAGTAGCTCATAGGGACCAGTTATTGTGCCACGTGGGGTCAGTGTGCTTCGGGCGGATTCCCTGACAGGGCCCTGAACTGGGACCCCATTGAGAAGGGAGGGCCTGGGTCCCCCTACCCAGCAGCCAACCCCCAGCCCCAGGCGGCGGCCCAATCCCCCAACCGGCTGCCAGGCCAAACAGCCCTACTGAAGAGGGCCATTATACTGACTCTGGCCGCTGGGCCACGCAGCCCTGAGAAAGGGCTGTTAGATTGACTCTGGCCAATAGGCCACACAGCCCTGCTGAACAGGACAGCCCTACTGGCTCTGACTGCTAGGCGAAACAGCCCTGAGAGTGGGCAGCCATATCAACTTTTACCCATAGGTAAGTCCCAAGACAAGTGACGGTTGTACAGACTCAATCAGGGGGCTCATCTGCGGCGGAGGAAGACATCCCCTGACCAGCTCCGTTCCAGACTACAGGCACTATAAAGGAGCCTCTACAGGGGCTGAAGGTGGAATGTAGGGACCTGGCTGTGAATGCAAACTAGGCCCTGCCCTCACTCTTTAAGAGGGAGGCTCAGGACACTTCCAGAGACCCAGTGTTTCCCCAGCCAAAAGAAACTCCAGGACCCTCCTCTGGAGGTTGGCCAGGGTACCTGGGGGCAGGCTAAGATTGTTGAACCAATGCCAAAGCATAGACAGGACCAACTAGTTGATGACCAATGCCCTCCTCCAAACGGAAAGGCCCCACCCATGCCCGCAACTAGTCAATTACCATGGCCTCCAAGTTGGCCTAATTATACAGTGGGAGGGATTGATGGCAAACAGGTAGATACCCAGATAGAGCAGCAAACCCATACCCAGTGGATACTGTGGAGAGCAGGTGGGAGGGAACCCACCTGCCACCCATCCCCGACCATCAGAGCTCTCGACCCAGCTGGGCAGAAGAAGCTGCTGAGTGGATTGTTTGGAAAGACTATGTGCAGCAGGTCTTCCGGGTCCTGGGCCATAAGGAGCACGTCATCAGCATACGCCAACAGGCCTATCCTCAAGGCCAAGTCACCAAGCATCTATCTCTTCAACTGATTGCAAAGACGACAAAGGAAGGACTTGATGGCAATGGCATATAACTGGTCAGACAGAAGGCAGCCCTGATACACTCCCTGACCAAAGCTGACCAGTCGAAACAGGTCCAGTTGAGCTTGACCATACACTCTGCAAAGGCTTCCAGTACCTGGAAGAACCCCACAAAATGGGGACTGAGGCCAAATGCCCACAGTGTAAGGCTTGTTTTTAGCTTTCACCATTTTGTTTTGTATAAGTGGCTGTTTGCCCTCCATCTTTGACCCCCTTCTTGTTCATCAATTACCACCCTTTTTCTGTAAGAGCAGGAAAATTGTGTCATGTGACTTGGGAATAGCCTGCCTAGTAACAGGAGAGCATAAAAGCCCAGCACACCCTGTGAAGTGTGCTGTCCCTCCCAAAGGAAGCCCAGTGTCTGCAGAATAACATCAAGAAAGATCAACTCACCTGTTCCCAAGTGTGGTCCTGATCCTGTTCCTAATCCTCATCGTCCAGTCTGTTGTGTTCCTGGTTGTTGTCCTCTTCTGTTCTGGTTCCAGCTGTGGTCCTGATCCTGTTGTAGCATCCCTGTTCCCTTTCTGGTATCCCTGTGAAATGGTGATATACAGTTTTACCTGTTTATCTTGTTAACCCACTTATAGTTCTGGGGTCCTGGCTTTATGCCAATTTGTGTGTTAACCAAGTTATTTGTAATAAATCTTATTGTTGTTTGCACCCCAGTAATTGCCTAGTACTCTTCCTCTGGCAGGAAGGTCTGGGGGTGAGGAAAGGGATTGCTACTGGTGATCAGAGACAGACCAAGGGGTACCTGTAGTAAGGAGGAAGGGGGAACTATTTCCTGGCTTCTCTTCCAACCCATTGGGGGTTTAACAGCAGGATTCCCATGAGAGAACAGTGATCTACCTTGTCATATGCTTTTTCCTAATCAAGGGACAGGAAGGCAAGAGACAGACCAACTCTACATTCTATCCAGAGAAGGTTCCAGATCAGATAAAGGTTGTCAGAAATAGTCCAGCCCAGAAGAGTGTATGCCTGGTCGGGGTGGATCATATCTGCCCGAATAGACTTCAGCTGCAGCAAGATGGCTTTAGCTACAACCTTATAACCTGTGCTGGAGAGTGATACTGGGTGCCAATTCCTCAAGTTGCAGAGGTCCCCCCTTTTTGGTAGCTGGTTGAACACAGCCTGCCTACATGACAGCAGAGACCAACCCCCCCTGGGGTCTGCCAGCTCGCTAGGGACCAATGGCTGACGCTTCGGGAAAAGGACCTAGGGGTGACAGGACGAGAAGCTGGTATGAGTCAAGGTCCAGTGCCAAGAAGGCCACTTTTGGATGTATAAGTAGGGCATAGCGAGCAGATCGGACGTGTTGTTCCCCTCTATTCGACATTGGTGAGAACTCCACTGGAGTACAGCCTGTCCATTTGGGCCCCACACTACAAAAGGTTGTGGTATTGAGTGGGCATCAGATGGAGGGACTGTTCTCATGAAGAACGAATCCAGCTGCAGTTGGGGAGGTTAGATGTAGGAAAATTTTTCACTGAGGGCCCCCGGGATCCCGGGGGGGGGAGGCCCCTCCAACCCTTAACCTGTCCAGCCAGTCCTAGTCACCCATGCTCACCATTGGGAGTTTATCTGGCAGGACCCCACAAGCACTGCCTTCGAATCCAGAGAGAAAAGGTCAGCATAGAAAGCCCTAGCCCTTTCTTGCATCTTCTCCAAATCTGTAAGAGAGGTACTGTCGTCTGTCAGAAGACAGGTATTATTTAGCACCCATCCTCTTCTCCAGGGCACAGAAGTGGGAGCTGTGATCCACCTCCTGAAGGGGTTGGACACACAACCAGACAAAAGTACCATGGGCCAAATGGCCATCAATGGCCTGGAGCTTGTCCATGCTGAGGGAAAGGCACACCTCTTCCCTTGCCAAGTCAGCTAAAATTCCTACAAGGACTCCACAGAGCCCACATCCTCCAACAGGCTGTTATTAAAATGCCAATAAGCCAGCCCCAACCACTCAGGTATAAGAGCAACATTCACAAAAACTAAATGATAGTCTGAGTAGGGGGTCAGCTGAATGTCAGAGGAACAGGCCCATGTTAAAGCATGAAATGTAAATTCTGTCTAACTGTGATTGGCGCAATTCCACCCAGACAAAGCTGAAGGAGGTGGCGTTGTCTGGGTGCCGGTTGTGCCAAACACCCACCAAGGCATGATGGTCAAGAATCCCTCTGAGGATGTTAGTGGTGGCCACTAGTCAGTTGACCCTCAGCCTGGGCTTGGCTGTAGTCTCTTCCAGCCCCCTGCCCCTTGGTCCCCTATATAAGTCCCAACTCCTAGGCAAGCTCACTCTTCCTCACAGGCGTTGACTTCACTCCCAGGGTCCATCTGGGTCTAATTACCTCCAGTCCCCGGCACCGCTCCCCAGGTCCAGCTACTGGTCATTGATGGAGGGCATACGTCTAGAACCCCCCTCAGGGCTGCAGTGTCTGCAACACCACCATGCTAGGCTCAACAGAACTAACAGACCCTTCATTCTTGCCCCAAGTGCTGAGTTAAAGGGGCTCAGGGCTGGGAGCTGGTGCCACCTCAACAGGCTCAGAGCCCATGAATCCAGCATCACCAATCCCCTTGGAAGGCCCTGGACCCTAGATCTTGAATGGGCTTGAGACTGAGCTGCTCCGCCTTAGAGGAGGACATCTCAGAATGCCTGGCACCTCACTGCTCGGTGCCAGCCAATGCTGCTACAACAACGGGCTCAACGGTTGAAAGGCCTGCACCATCATTTACTGGGCAGAGACCAGGGTTTGGGGGGGCGCCTCCAGGGTAGGGCAGGAGGAGGAAGAGAGGTGTCACCATAATAGCTTCAGTGCCCAGACTAGGGAGATGGTCATCCCCACATAGGTCAGCTAGACCCAGAGCCCTGATCGCTCCCAAACAGTCTGAGAGATCCCCACTCACAGAGTTTGCCCCACTGGTGAGGCAGAAATCTCAATCTTGGCACCAACTGCGGGGACAGATGTTAAGGACACAGGCAGACTCCTTCACAATGGGCTCCTCTAGGGGAGGGACAGCACCAATAAACCCCGCCCCCACAAAAAAAAAACAAACCCAAAACCCTGCTCCTCAGCCAGCTCCTCCCACTACACTTTCCCCCGTGGGGGGGGGGGGGGGGGACACAGTAAACAGGGCAGAGCAGCAGCACTGCCCCCACCCCCTCAAGAGGAAACCTGATCCAGAACTGAAGGGAAGCAGCTATGCTCCAGCCCGGTGCTTAGCTTTAGCTCTATGCCTGCCCCCGAGGCTATCTCCCATGCAGCACCACCAGAGTCAGCCGGTGAGAGGGAATCTGCCAGCAGGGGCCACATCAGGGGCCACATGGTGTGGATTGCACTCTCAGCAAATTTGCGGATGATACTAAACTGGGAGGAGTGGTAGATACGCTGGAGGGGAGGGATAGGATACAGAAGGACCTAGACAAATTGGAGGATTGGGCCAAAAGAAATCTGATGAGGTTCAATAAGGATAAGTGCAGGGTCCTGCACTTAGGACGGAAGAACCCAATGCACAGCTAGAGACTAGGGACCGAATGGCTAGGCAGCAGTTCTGCGGAAAAGGACCTAGGGGTGACAGTGGACGAGAAGCTGGATATGAGTCAGCAGTGTGCCCTTGTTGCCAAGAAGGCCAATGGCATTTTGGGATGTATAAGTAGGGGCATAGCGAGCAGATCGAGGGACGTGATCGTTCCCCTCTATTCGACATTGGTGAGGCCTCATCTGGAGTACTGTGTCCAGTTTTGGGCCCCACACTTCAGGAAGGATGTGGATAAATTGGAGAGAGTCCAGCGAAGGGCAACAAAAATGATTAGGGGTCTGGAACACATAAGTTATGAGGAGAGGCTGAGGGAGCTGGGATTGTTTAGCCTGCAGAAGAGAAGAATGAGGGGGGATTTGATAGCTGCTTTCAACTACCTGAAAGGTGGATCCAAAGAGGATGGCTCTAGACTGTTCTCAATGGTAGCAGATGACAGAAGAGGAGTAATGGTCTCAAGTTGCAGTGGGGGAGGTTTAGATTGGATATTAGGAAAAACTTTTTCACTAAGAGGGTGGTGAAACACTGGAATGCGTTACCTAGGGAGGTGGTAGAATCTCCTTCCTTAGAGGTTTTTAAGGTCAGGCTTGACAAAGCCCTGGCTGGGATGATTTAACTGGGAATTGGTCCTGCTTCGAGCAGGGGGTTGGACTAGATGACCTTCAGGGGTCCCTTCCAACCCTGATATTCTATGATTCTATGATCTCCCCCCACAAGCGGTCACTCTCCCTCTTCCGCTGTCATCTCCCCTGCCAAGGGCCCCACAAGCTGATGATCAGCAGGGTCATCTGACTATAACCGTTAAAAAAAGAACTAGACAAGTTCATGGAGGCCAGGTCCATCGATGGCTATTAGCCAGGATGGGCAGGCAGGGTGTCCCGAGCCTCTGCTTGCCAGAGCTGGGAATGCGCAACGGGGGACGGATCACTCGAGGACTCCCTGCCCCATTCATGCCCGCGGGGGCACCTGGCCCTGGCCGGACAGGACACTGGTCTGGATGGACCCTGGCTCTGACCCAGTCTGGCCCTTGTGACGGTCTGACGTTCACCCCGTGCCTAGGGGCAAGGGGGCGGGGAGGCCAGCCCAGGGGCTCTCTCTACAGGGCCCTATCGCGCCCTCCCGCCGCTGGGGGGGCGGGCAGCACCGTCCCACGGGCCGGGGCCGGCTGACCGCACCCGGCCTCACGCGGGCCTGCACCGCCACTGCCGCCTGGGGAGAGGCGGCGGCCGGCGGCAGCGGACGCCGCCAGCGCAGGCTGGGAAGGGGGCCCCAGCTCGGCGGCCTTCACGCCGCTCGCTTAGCCCGGGGCTGCCAGCACCCCACTGTCGCGGTGCCTCAGAGCAGGCCGCGGGGTCCCTCGGCCGGGCGCGCTGAGAGACCGGCCCGGCCGCCCACGCGCAGCCCCGCGGCGCCCCCCAGTGGCCCAGGACGCTCCTCGCGCGGCCGGGCCCCCGAAGGCCCCCGCCGGGCTGCCTGCACCGCGCGCGCGCCGCGCCACGCCCCGCCGTCAGGCAGCAGCCCGGGCAGCCTCTCCCGCCGGAAGCGAGCCGGGCCTCGCGCGAGCGGAAGCCGGAAGTGGCGGGCGCTGACGTGTCGCGCGGCGCCGGGAGGGAGTCGGGCCGGGCTGTGCGGCCGCGATGGAGGCTCTTTACCACCAGACCAACAAGTGAGAGAGGGGCCGGGCCGGGCCGCATCCCGCGGGGGAGCCTGGGGCCGGGCTGAATCCCGCGGGCAGAGCCTGTGGGGCCGGAGCCCCGGTCCCGTCTCCGTAGCAGCGCTCGGAGCCTGGCGGGCCGGGGCCGGGGCCGGGCTCTCTCCTGCGTGCGGGAAGCCCCTCCCGCACCGCCCCGGGCAGCCTCCTCTGGCTGGGAGCGTGTCGCGGCTCAGCCGTGTCCCGCTGCGAGGAAAGAGGCTTTGTCCGATGTGAGCTGCTGAGGGGGTGGGCGTGGGAGCGGGCGAGGTACAATGGTCCAGACTGGAAGTTGGGGGGTGCCCAGCCATAGGAAGTGCCCTGGGCTCTCTAGCGTCCGGAACCTCATTTTTCACTTTTTCTCCAAATTTCTATCTCCTGATTTGCAGCAAGGGACAGAATGAAATCGTGCAGGAAGCTTTAAAGGGATGTTAGGCTAGTTATTGTAGAGTGAACACATCGCCCACCACCACACTTCCAGGATGCAGTATTTCAGCTGACAAGTGCTGTGCTGATTCTTTGTAAGGGTTGGTGTTTATGGCATAAGTCAGTCGTTCTCATGCTTTCGTCCTGGTGACCCCTTTCACACAGCAAGCCTCTGAGTGTGACCTCCTTTATAAATTAACATTTCTTTTATATTGAATATTATTATAAATGCTAGAGGCAAAGCAAGGTTTGGGGTGTAGGTTGAAGGCTTGTGGACCCCCCCATGTAATAACCTTGCAACCCCCTGAGGGGTCACGACCCCCAGTTTGAGAACCCCTGGCATAAGTGGTATCAGCACAATGACTCTGGAACACTAAAAAATGGTGTCCTATGAATAAGTGCCAACAAACAAATAGCTTGTCTTGGAATTGACATAACTAAGAAAGTTTAGAAGAAAGAGGACAACACAGGAATTACCTGAAGTCTGTGTAGTCTGGTATTCTGTCTCCAACAGAGACCAGCACCAGATGCTTCAGAGGAAGGTGCAAGAAACCTTGCAGTGGGCAGATGTGAGCTAATTTGCTGGCCATGGTACTGCGTTAGTGTTTTTAGTATCAATACTTTTGTTGTGATAATAATTTAACCAAAGTGTCACAATTTAAATAGTAGTTTTACAGTAGTGTTGTCTTTCTCTTTGTAAAATCCATGGCTTTCTTCTTCTGTTATTACATCCCTTTTGGAAATGGGAGCAAGGGTAGATAAGAAAGATTGGTTTTAATGTTGTGTACCCTCTTTTCGTATCAACAAGCATCAATGTCCTTGGAATACACAGGACTTGCTACGATATTTGCTGCTATTTATGTAGCACCACATTGTAAGCTCTTTTAAGGAAGGAACAGTGTCTATGCATTTGTACAGCAAACACAAAGGAACCCCCTTCCCAACTGGGGCTTCTGGATGATACCATAATGTATAGAGTATATGAGTATCTGTCTCAAGATTTTACTGTTGAAAAGCACTAGTGGATACAACACAGAACAGAGTGGAGTTATTACTAAAGCACTTTACAAAAACCAGGTGTCTGTTCGGAAGTATTTTGGAGGAGAGATAAGCTTGGTGAATATAAATTGGCAGGAATGTGGATAAAAATTGGTTATTTTTATTAATCAAAACTTGGGTTTTTATTTAAATACAAAAAGAAAAGGAGTACTTGTGGCACCTTAGAGACTAACCAATTTATTTGAGCATGAGCTTTCGTGAGCTACAGCTCACTTCATCCGATGTAGCTACAGCTCACTTCATAACCGGCTGTAGCTCACGAAAGCTCGTGCTCAAATAAATTGGTTAGTCTCTAAGGTGCCACAAGTACTCCTTTTCTTTTTGCGAATACAGACTAACACAGCTGTTACTCTGAAACCTATTTAAATACAGGGTTTTTAAAAAAAAAAAAAAATAGTTCAAGCCTCGCCATGCTGGCTTAGACCAGTTGTCCATCTAGACCAGTATCCTGTCTTCTGACAGTGACTGGTGCTAGGTACTTCAGAGGGAATGAACAGAACAGGGTGATTATCAAGAGATCCATCCCATCATCCAGTTCCAACTTTTGGCAGTCAGAGGTTTAGGGACATACAGAACATGTGTTTGCGTCCCTGGCCATCTTGGCTAATAGCCATTGATGGACTTATCCTCCATAAACGAATCTAATTCTTTTTGACCCAATTATACTTTTAGCCTTCACAACGTCCCCTGGCAATGAGTTCTACAGGTTGACTGCGCATTGTGTGAAGAAATACTTACTTATATTTGTTTTAAACCTGCTGGCTGTTAATTTCATTGGATGACCACTTGTTCTTGTGTTATGTGAAAGGGTAAATAACTTCCTTGTGCACTTTGTCCACACCACTCATGATTTTATAGACCTCTGTCATATCCCCTCTTAGTTGTCTCTTTTCTAAACTGAACAGTCCCAGTCTTTTTAATCTGTCCTCATATGGAATCTGTTCTATATCCCTAATCAATTCTGTTGCCCTTCTTTGTACTTTTTCCCATTCTAATATATCTGTTTTTAAATGGGGTGACCAGAACTGCATGTAGTATTCCAGGTGTGGGCATACCTTGGATTTATAAAAAGAAAAGGAGTACTTGTGGCACTTAGAGACTAACAAATTTATTTGAGCATAAGATTTATAGTGTCATTATGATATTTTCTGTCTTCTTATTGATCCCCCTCCTAATGGCTCAAAATACGCTCTTGGCTTTTTTGACTGCTGCTGCACATTGAGCAGATGCTGTCAGGAAACTATCCACAATGATGCCAAGATCTCTTTCTTGAGTGTAATCAGCTAATTTAGACACATCATTTTGTATGTATAGTTGGGATTATGTTTTCCAATGTGCGTTAATAGTAACACACATTTATCAACGCTGAATTTCATCTCCCCTTTTGTTGCCCAGTCACCCGGTTTTGTAAGATCCCTTTGTAACTCTTTGCAGTCAGCTTTGGACTTAACTATTTTGAGTAATTTTGCATTGTCTGCAAATTTTGCAAAATTTCAAATTTAATTTTGAATAAATTTATGACAACCTATGTTAAGGCCTAAATTTACTATAACCTATTCAAATAAAATAAATAAAAAATGAAGTAATATGTTTGCTGATGAAGTTTTAAAGAAAGTAAAACCACTGAACTGCATGCAGAGTTTGTGCTAAAGAGGCTTTTGACATCCATTTGCCTCTTCTGCAGGTGCAAAGAGAGGATTCTTCATTTCACCTTTTTCAGTTCATTTCAATGACTAGTTTGTTCAAAATGGAGAAACCATTTGGGAGATGAAAAAAGCAGGAAAGCTAGTTTTTCTTTTCCAATCTATTAATTAAAATGAGGTATGAGAGGATGAGATCTGCTTCTAAAATCTGGAAGCACATGGCAGTCAAAAGCAGTCAGTTCAGGTCACTAACTACTGATAATACTTTCTTTGTTTAATAAACCATTGGTTTTAAATGCAAAACATGTTATGATAAACTTACTTTTTTATGCATTTAGCACATTTAAGGTAGTTTTTATTTAACTAATAAAAACAATTATTCGGCCCTTTAGAACAAGATGTTTTAAAGAGGGACTTGAAGAAGCTCTGAGGTTGTGTAGAGTCTTAACTATCTTAGACCAGTTACTATGTCCAGTATCCCTTAGACATAAATGTTCCTATACTCTGAGGCCAGAAGGTGACAGCTTGATCATTTAGTCTGACCTGCATAGCACAGGCTGTAGAGCTTCCCCAGAATCATTCCTGATTGAGCTACAGCATATGTTTTAGGAAAACGTCCAATCTGTATTTAAAATAGCCAGTGATGGAGAATCCATCACAACTCTAGGTAAATTATTCCAATGATTGATTACCCTCGTTGTTAAATATGCCTTATTTCCAGTCTGAATTTGGCTAGCTTCAACTTCAAGCCATTGGATTGTGTTATATCTTTCTTTGCTAGATTGAAGAGCCTGTGACAAAAGGTTTTGTTCCACATGTGGGTACTTGTACATTGTGATCAAGCCATCCCTTAACCTTCTGGTTTTTAAGCTCAATAGATAGGAGGGGCTGAATCACTATAAGGCATGCTTTCTAATCCTTTAATCATTCTCGTGGTTCTTCTCTGAACCCTCTCCAGTTGGATTGTGGACACCAGAACTGTACACAGTATTCCAGTCGCAGTTGCACCTATGGAATACAGAGGTAGTGTAATCTCCCTGCTCCATTTTACTGCTAATAAATGTCTAATCTGTCTGTCTATGGAGGCTAGCTACTAAGACACACTGACCTTTGGCATCATATTAAATGTTCTTCCATATCCCTGAAATAGCTGAACCGTGATGCTCCTCACTGATTCCATAAGCAAGCTAGGACTTTGGACACTGTTACTGTGAGCAACGTTGGAATTTAGGGATGTAAAATAGTGATCTATTAACTGGTAAGCATTAATCTTACTGGTTAACCCAGCCTAACCGTTAACCTGCGGTCCGCCGCA